TATAAACACTCACGTATGTAAATCAGTAAAATTTCTAAATTTAAGTGGGGCTTATCCAACTTTATTTTTTGCAAACATGAAACGTGACGCTGTTTTAGGCAACTTGACTTTATAATCCGTGCGCCGTAGGGCGATACAGTACATAACATAAAATATCAAAATTTGTTTATTTATGCATATATCTATTTGAAATTTGCTATATATATTCATATTTTAAGGAATTTCCACCCTCACAATTTTATAGGTTCAAAGTACAAAAACTGCATATATTTTCATTCAATATACTTTAAACTTTCCATTTATTGCAAAAAATGTATAGGTCACCATATTATTTAAGATGCAAAACATAAATAAACAGAAGTGTATGTCAACATAAAAAATGTACATTTTTTGTTAAAATTATTGAGAAAAAATATGTAAAAACTGGTTAAAAGGCATAATTCTGATGCTGAGTGTTCCTAAATACTTCCTACTTAAAAGATACTTTTGAATTGTGAATATCAGGTAAACTATTTTACAGAAAAGCAAATGCCTGAATGAAGAGACCTTAGAAGGAGTTATTGCCCTTGTAAACATTTTTTAAAGATTGAATAATTGATTAAATATAGAAAATATGCATTTTTTGAATTCGTTAACAATATTTATCATTACACCTATTGTAAAGCATTCTTCCAAGAGATATTTCTCTATAAGGTACGAATTTAAACTAATTACAGTTTTTGCAAAAACCTATGACATCATAGGAGGGTGGAATTACCTTAAGTACTAAAGAGTAGTGAAAATTTCAGAATCCAGTGATGATTATTTTTCAAACTAGACAACTTGTCCACGATTTTACGGGACAACCCTCGTATAAGTATAATAATTTATTTTTTAAGTACAGGCGGTAACAAATACACATTTAACGGCGATTAAAATCATATCATTATAATATCGATTTAAACATATAGGTATGTTCAGAAAAAAATGTTTTTATTAATTAATTAATTTATTTATTTATTTATTTATCTATTGTTTATCTCAGTAGTAGTTTTATCTTCTAAAGTCCACATTGTTTTATTAGTTAAAAGAATACGCATAATTATTTACACTATAAGATAAATTTATTTTTTAACTACACTCGGAAACAAATACACGTTTGACGGCGATTAAAATCATGTTATTAAAATATCGATTTTAACATACGTATGTGTATATTTTTTTTTTATTATTCATATATTTATTTCTCTTTTGTTTATTTATTGTGTATTTTTTTTTTGACATTTGAATAATAGAATAAAAGAATAATTTCAATACAAGGAAAAGACTGAGGGCATTCCGAATAAATCGTTCATCTTGCGTTCACCGTTCACATTGCGCTCGCGTTCGCGCTCCGTTTGCGTTCTGCGTTCACTCACCGTTCACCGTTCACACATCGTTCACCAAGTTGCGTTCACCGTTTGCACATCGTTCACTAACCGTTCGCTCTGCGTTCGTTCAGCGTTCGTTTACCGTTCGTTCAGCGTTCGTTCACCGTTCAGGTGGGAAAGTAGAACGTTTCATGATCAGGGACTGTAAGAGACCCACGTATAATTTCTGTAACGGGGTAAACCATAGAGTATTTAAAGAATACAAAGTATTCAAAAACCACCACTATACCCAGAAACGTTACAATTATGTATTCAGTAAAGGTTTACACAAAGCAATAGATCGTCTGAATCAAAATTTGAATGCTTTTGACTTATTTAATTTATGAAACATGCTTTTTGTAATAATTTGCACCTCAATTTTTTTTATTTTGTTTTACAAATACAAGTAACAATATTAAATTTCAATTGAAACTGTTACAATCTTATGATATTTAAAAATTATACATACATTTATAGGCTTCATTTGAACGATAATGTTGCGGACAATTCACTTTATGATCTTGACACGGTATGGTGTAGTGATTGTCGACTCTTGCTTTCTCGGAGTCATAAAATGGGCAAAAGTGTCCTTTATAAAGAATAATAATTTATAATAATAATTCCAACACAAAACTTACATTCTATTTACACAATCAAATGAAGTTCTAGATTTTCTTTTATTTTACAGGGTGTCCCAGAATATATGATACCATTTCATGATTATATAAATTAAATGTGCTCACTGTGAAAAAAAAAACTATTGTTTTTAAATTACGTCCCTAGATAAAATCCAATCCGGGTAATGATCATGTCTAGACAATGTATTTATTTTACCATCAATTTTATATTGCCTTTTTTTCTGAGGTAGCTCTCCTCAAACTCACATCGACAGAATATATTAACTTCAGAAACGAGGGCCTAGGATTATTTTAAATGAAACATTTGATGCACCTTCAATGCCCTTGTTTAACAGTTTACGAACTTCTATATCTACAGAAAAGCATTCTGATGTTCAAAATAGTTCATCATATTTCTCCGGATTATATGCATGATTTTTTTTTGAATTTTGAAAGTTATGGATCATACACGTTACGCTCAGATACAAATTTAGATCTTCGATTCGTTTACCAAAATATAATACAAATTTATTCAAAAAATCTTTACAACATTCAAGGGTTATTATCTAGAATAAGTTGCCTATAAGTATTAGGAATTCTAAATCCCTTGCAATATATAAAAGTAGTGTTGAAAAATTTTAACTTAAAAAACGAACTTGTTCTACATTAAATATGTTTTCTTTTCCTTTCAATGATGTGTCAATATTTAATTTATTCTGCTGTAACAAAGTGTTTATATCTTATTGTTTCATGTTTGTAATTATTGTCTTTATTGAAAAAAAACTTTGTATATGTGCTATAAAGAAGGCCCCGAGGAAGACTAGTGCTTGCACCAATCGTGTTCTATAAAGTATTATTAGGGTCTTCCGCTTCCTTCGGAAGACCCTACTGTTTTTCTACTGTTTCTTATTATTAGGGTCTTCCGCTTCCTTCGGAAGACCCTACTGTTATTCTATTGTTTCTTATTAATCTTTTGTTTTCCCGTTCGATTTTAGACAGGCGATTTCTCAAAGACATTTTGACTGATTTTTATAAAACTTTCAGGTTAGATACCTTGTAGTTAAACTATTTACACCTGTTTTCAATTTTTTGATGCATGCCTTCATTTGTGAGTTTTTGCCCTTTAATTAATAATTTTGATGTCTTGTTTCCACTAAAAATCTCAAGAACGACTTACACGAAAGTTGGAGAACTTGTAGCCAATGCATTGTAGATGTGCAGAACGATAAAAGATGATTTCTTAAAGTTTGGAAGCTATAAAACGGCAAATTTTATTAATTTTTTTTCCTTGAGTTTTTGCTACTTTTTATGTAATAACTTTTTAACCGAGAATAATTTGGTAATAAATATAAAACAAAATTTGTGTGTAAGTACCAGAGCTTTCATATAAGATTAATGAAAAGGGACTGGTCCCTTTAATTAGGGGGTAATAGCTCATACACGTTTTTTTTTCTGATAGCTAAAAATATTGGTAAATTATGAAAAAGTTTGACTGAAATAATTTCGAACTTATTAAATCTTGTCATTTGATATAAAAACGCAGTACAGTTAAGGTGCGCAATGGAAATAACGACTATATTTTGTATTTAAAAATGTATTCGTAATCGAGATGGAGATTATTTCTAATACATTATTTATATCGGATAATTTTAATTATGATTAATAGGTACATATCGAGGACGATTATATTTTATATTTAGACTAGTCACGTGATGCGGCAGTCACGAGATTTTCGCACATTGACTTGAAGTGTTGATGTTACATATAGATATCACCAGTGCAAAGGCATATCCAAGTTAAATTTCCAAGTTTAGTATATTAATATTTTCAAAAAAGTGCTGCGATCCTGTCTAAATTCTGCAATTTTATTGTTAAAATTATACTTGTATGACCGAATGCTATATTTTTTGCTGGTCAGCGGCATGAAATATTGATGTAATTAAAGTGTTTTAAAGATTTCATCAGGATCACAGCACTTTTCAGATACCTTAATGGTTCTATAGTTGAAATGAAAAAGCTTACTTTGATACATAGAGTGTATGCCCTTGCACTAGATCAATTTATCAAGATACCCCACATTAACCTCCGATGTACTTGCATACAAATATACGGCAGTGTCAATTAAATATGTAATGTACAGAAAATATATTAATAAAATAGTGAAAAAGACATTAAATTCAAGTTATTGGCTCATAGAATATCTGTAAAAAATATTTCATTTAATTAGAGATTACATATTTTGTTGAGAAAATATTACTTGATGTGTCTCTCACTGCATACAAACTACGTCACGTTGTAAGAAATGACGTCATATTGACAAGTAACTAACGACAAAACAACACATTGTAGTAAGTTTTTTATGTAGTTTGATGATTTCTTACTGGATGAATTATCAGATAAACTCATTTTGTGGTATTTTAAGGTGGGTCGCAGGTTTACTGTATAAAAATTCTTACGAGAAAACATGTTCCTTAGAATTTAAAGCGTATCATCTGCAATTTTAATTAAATTTGCCTAAGTAGTTTTAATGTTATAAAACTGTAAACGCGGTATAGTTTTTAATCCTTTTTGACGCTTTTACCATTGAAATATATGGGAAAATAACGTTTTTAAGCCAATTTTCCGAAAATAGTATCTTTTAAAAAGGTTGGATAACTTTTTAAAGACGTAGACGAATAGACGACTTTCACATTTACAAAAGTTATTCCCCTTTGCGGGGTCAATCCGGGGTCAACCGGCGTAAGACGCTGTTTTCCCTCTATAACCTTACCAAATTTATGGGTTATTGTCCTAGAAAAAAAATCTTTATGAATATGCCCATTATGTTTTCAATGTTGTCCCACACTCTGGCAATACAGGTACACACCGATATTGTCCTATAACGTTTGAAATTTAAAAATATTAACAGGTAACTTAAAAAGGACAAAGTGGGAAAAATGAGCATTACGCCAACAACGGGAGATAACACTTACGAATGTGAAATTCGTCTATTATTCAGGAATTTCAAAATGTCAAGATAAGGTAAAATCAAAACCATTAATATATAAAAAAAAATATTATATGCCTTCTCGCTAATTTTTTTGCTAAATAATTTCAAAGTTTTCTTTTAAAATGCTACAATTTGGCGTTTGTGGCGTTATTAATATCTACAACGTCATTTGTTGAACGTAGTCACGTTTACAGTACAAGTATAAATATATTGACCTATGGAATATTCAAGAATTAAAAGGTGATATCGATACAAAATTTAATTTCATTCATAATTTAATTTATTGCGGAGACATGTTAGGATTACCAGCAACTTATTTTCACTAGTATTGTGAAATTCATATTCTGATCACAAAGTCATAATGAACGGTAAAAATAATCCTCGTGCAGCGACATTAACATGCAGCGACAATGCTCACCGCGAGTGAAAAAATATAAGTACCCGTATTTTTAGAAAATGCATGGTCAATAGGATTTCAGGCATAAAACAACAATTTTATCACTTTATTTGAAAACGGTAGGAAAAACATCCCTATTATGAGGAAATAAGTGGGCAAGAGGGGGGGGGGGGGGAGGGTTGTTACCTGCAATGTTCTTTCTATATTAGTCGCAAGCTATAGTATATGGCTCTAAATCTCAAGCATTTTCTAATTTCGAATTTTTAAAAATTAATTTCAATACGCAAAATGTAAAACACTTGCATTTAGCTTTTACACGTTGAGCCTTTGTCATAAAAATATATAGAAAAAAATTATACTTGTAAATTGTTTACAAAGTTTTGTAATTCTTAAAATCCAGATGTTTGAATAAATTTAATTTTTAAATTTATTAGCAAGCAAAACAAGGCGAGTACACGAGATTTAAATATATAATAACCAACCAATATTAATATTGATAAAAAAAAAAAAAAAACAACAGGAAAATACTTGCAATTAAATATAACTTATTTTAAGTAAAGAGGATTAATTTCCATCCTGAAAAGTATAGTACGCATATATTTTCGCCCCGGCTTTGAGTTGAAGTCAAGTTCCCCTGAGTTTCAAATAACGTGCGCACATACAATCCCTCAAGTTTCTCGCTAAGCAATTTTTATTCATGATAACTTTCTTTCTGCAAGCCATAACTTTTACGCTGATTTATTCCAATTGACTTTAAGCAGTTTAGTTACACTTTAAATATAATTTATTGCTTTCATTTGGTATTGTATTTAATAAGTCCTAAGACATTACATATAATCACACCAGCATTCAGACTGAAATTTTATTATAAAACATGTACGAGGTTTACGTACAAAAGCATGCACTTTGTGTTAAATCTACTTTTAAATTCGTACAGACTTGAAGTCATTTGCAGAGAATAAAACGGGAAACAACGTGACGTTGCCTTTGTGACGTAAATGACGTCATAATCAAATGTGCACAAAACAACCGCTCGAATCGTCAATATTGTGTACCAAAATTGATGACAAAAGCAAACCCGCGACCTACCTTAAAAAAATGTTGTATGACGTATATTGTGTATGATGTCATAGTCAAGTTTTCCCGTACAAATTAGGCTTCGCCTCCTTTTTGTAACCTTAACTGTGCTGCGAAGAAATAAACTTCAAGCTATATTTAATTGTTTTTTTATAAAACAAATATGTGAGAAACCTTTCAGGAACAAGTTGTCCACTATAGCCAGCCAAGCCTTTACTGCATGTGCACAGTTTTAGTTGATGCATCTGAAAGATATAGTTTTGATTCGGTGTTTCTCTGTTTTCTTTTTATTCAAATAATTTTAAAATGTGGTGATGTACACAACAAAAATTACTTTAGAGGATTTTTTTCGGGGTCTCTTGTTTGTAAACAACGCGCGGCATTGTGGGAAATAGGAGGGCACTAAAGACGCGATGTACTAAAAACTGATTTGACCTGATTCAAAATTGTATGTAAATATTCCAAACAATTGAATTTTTGTATAGCATAATGCATCAGAGTCATAAAGT